TAACGCCGAGGCTGGGAGCGGCGCTGGGGGACGGAGCTCGCCCTCCGTCAACTTTCCTGGACCGCTCTGAACGTAGCGTGTATCGGCGTGCGGGGTGACCTTCGGCCGGGGCGAGCAGGGTGAGGGGGTCCCTCTTCCGCCGTTATTGCAGTGAAACGGGCTGAGGAAACGCCGCGGTGTTGTGGAGCAAGAAACATGGGACAGCTGGTCGCAAGGAAGAGCCTGCCTTGTTTTCTGCTTTTCTTTTGTGGCTATCATGATTTACAAGGTGGAAACGTGAAAAGCCAAGCCTGCCTTCCGGGACACAGCGATGTGGTGAGGATGCCTCCGAGTGCCAGAGACGGGGCTTTGTCCTCAGCAGCGTTTGTTTGCCGGTGGGCTCCGTTCAGTCATTGAAGGCAGGGGCTCAACAGCCCACGGTTATCGAGGGAGGCAGGATCTTCGCCATGGGATACGACAAGAGCTGGGTTTCGAGGAACGATAGCGACCATGCCCCATACCAGGCTGTGAGCAGGGCCCTGGCGCTGAGGAACGCCTCGGCTGGGCCGATGGGGTGGCAGGGCGGGAACGGCAGCCAGGCCGGTGTGGCCGAGGGCGAGGAACATGGCCAAGAGCAGACCTACAGGCACTTCACGACCACCGTGCAGATCGTCATCTTCGTGGGCTCGCTGCTGGGTAAGCGAGCTTTGCCGGAGGTCTCTGTTGGTGCGATTTGTTTGTCCTTACGGCCAGGGACTGCAGACCCAGTGGTGGTGGCTAGCATCGTTTGCCGCATTAGCAGCTCTTCTTTTTGTGTTTTAAGTCCTCAGGTGTATGATTTCATGTTCCTTGTGAATTTCTGATGTGTAAAAGCTATTACTGTAAAAAGTTAGATATTCATCACAGATGAGAACTTGCACATTATATGTATGTATTCCTTAGTAAACTCTTCTATCAGAATTTAAATGGGCAAAAATTTAACAGGTTGATTATACCCTGTAATGGGATCTGTTCCCTTTACCGTAGAAAGGGGCGTAGAGTGCTTTAAACAAGTTTTGCTGAATTTCTGTTTCACATTGCAGTAGTTCTGCATTTTGTGCCACAGATTGCTGGTGAATCCTTTGGAAGGACTTTATGCTGTAAACGTGTATAACCATGTGCAATCTTGCCCGCTTGTTGTACTTAAATTAGGAATCGTACACTTTAGATGTGTGGTAGTAAATGGATAATACATGGCTGTATGTGTATATTTGCTTGTTAGATGCTTATAGTACATTCTTTTGTTAGGAATACATGTGAATTTCTTACAAAAAAAAGGAGGGCAAAATAAGCCTTTTAGTGAGTCAGTTTAGCACTGTTTGGGAGATCAGTGAGCTGGATTTCAGTAAAATGCTGCTACCATCTCAGTCATTGAAAGCTAGTTATTGGAAATGGTGATGAGGCTTTAAACACGAGGTTTGAGTGAGAAACTCTTCAGCTTTCTTAGGTGAGTTCAGTAGGACTTTGCTGATGGTCGTTGGCTCGTGTTGTCAAGGATTTGAGTTTTGTCTTTCCTGATCTTGAGTAATGCTAAAATCTGTTTCTGTGGTCGTGGTATTTGATTCTAATACTGATTTTCTCTCAGTAATATTTAATATTACTTAAATAATATCTAAGAATATGGTAAGTATAGTCTTGGAACAACTGAGCTCTAGGCTCAGTCAGCGATACACTTACTCGTTATTGCTGTAAATCACTCAGGTTTTTGGCCTCAATTATTCCTCTGTCTGGTGGGGGTAATCCTCATGGTTATTGCTTTTTTTCTATTTAACACGTATGTAGTGTGGGGACAAGACTCTCTCATATGTTGGATAGTGCCTGCTGCAAAAGGATAGCCAGCAAATAGTGACCTAGAAATAACCAATTTGGATGAGGAAAGTCAGAATTTTAATTGTTTTATCTTTTTTGGGTTTTGAGCCTTAAGAGTGTACATTTGGGTCATATGTCCAGACTTACTTTCATGAGCATGAATCCTCAAATTTTGTTTGAAGAAGAAAACAGACACTGTCATGTAATCATGCTTTCAGCAGCTAGGAGTCTTTAAAAACCAACCAATCGAAAAATACCATAGCTATAAATTTTGCAAGACTGCTGTTAGTCATGGTTTGGCACTCCTGCAATTTGCCTTTGAGAGGAAAAGATTCGGACCTGTTATAAGGGGCTGGGGCTTATCTGCAGATTGGGTGGCTGGGAGGCTGATGAAGCTTCCAGATCAGTAACTTCTCCAGGCCTATCAAAGAGCAAAACAGGAGAAGTCATGTTTTGTTTTTTTTTTTTTAATATGAAAATGCAGTAGTCCAATGACGAATGTTATCAGCGTACCTCGTGAATTTACAGTGATGGAAACCAATTTTAACTATTTTTTTTTGAAACTGCCTTCTTTTCTGGTCTCCTTGCTGCCCCGAAACACTATTTTAAGAACATTTATGACACATGCTACTGTAACAGCTGAAAACTTGAGAGTCTTTAAAAATGTCTTCCCATATCATCTCTGTGAATGTACTGCTATTCCCTCTTTACTGAATTGAAACAAAGCCACAAAGAAGCTGAAGCTGTGATCTCCAGAAAGTCTCAGGGCTTTGGTGCTTGCATGCTGAACCCTCATACGTGCCAGAAGTTTTTCTTGTGGATGGGATGCACACTATCTCTGCATCAGCGGGGGAGAACAATTTGATATTTACCTCACGCTTATGCTTGCACAAATGCTGTTAATGAAGTTTTCCTCTTGATTTGTTCTCTGCCATGGTCCTTAGAGCGTGAGTGGAATTCAGCTCTTTTCTCCCTCAGGTAAGCCCCTCACTTGAGCTACGGAATAGCAGTTCTTTGGTCCAGTGAGTCTCAGGTTGCTCTTTGCAGAGGGGAAACCCTTCAAGGGGAGTTAGGACTATCCTTCTCCCTAAAGCATGAGATGAGGGGCACTGTCCTCAGAGGTAGCACGTGTGGGTTTGAATCCTTTCTGGTTTAGGAGGATGTGCAACTTGTACATCCCACAATGTCAGTGTATGTCCAAGCCACTTGGCTATGGGATAAAATAGCACTACCCTTTCAAAAGGGAAAAATGATTTCTGCTTCCAGCTTGAAAGGGAACAAACATATGTGCCTTAGTCTTGATAAAGAATATTGGGGTCTGATGTGAGCAGCAGTCTACAGCACGGAGAGGTCCAGGTCCTACAAGAAGGAACAATCACAGTCGGGGTTGTGAATTGAAGTTAGGTTCCTGCTGCGCGGAAAAATGTGATAGTGACAGGAAGTTATGAGAGAGATGTACACTATGTCTTTCTCTCCTTATTTGAGACCTGTGGGAACACTTGTAACAGTAGAGAAATTCTTGTGTTAGTTTTCCCTGTGTTGTGAAAGGACAGTGCTGTGGTGAGTGTTTCATGGCACCTGCTGAGAGCAAGAAAGAGTCAAACTGTTCTTTTTACAAAACACTGAAAGCACATCCTCAATTTATTTACTTATTTTAGGAAGCAATAGCAATGGTACTAGATTCTAGTATTTCTGTGTGCCTTTAAAAGGGATTATGTGGTTGTCACAAGCTTGCCAAAGCTTGAATCTGGACGTGACCTTAACGTGTACGTCAGAGGGTCTAACTGGTAGATCCAACCGGAAGTATCAAGAAGAGGCTTGCTAACTGGCAGGTTTTTTTCCTATTGTTTTTTATCGTAATTTGTAGAAAGTTTTCATTGTTAAATAATTCTGATTTTGTGAAGAATATTCCATGTTTGGAATAGACAAAACATAATTATTAGCTTAAAAATCGCTTATAAATTAGGGCAGTTGGAGATGAGAGTTCTCCAGATAACAGTTGTGAGTTACAGAGTTAATGAAACTATAATGTGATTAAATGGTACAGTTTTAAATAGCAGTTCATGTGACTTCGAGTCTGTTTGCACAAACTTCCTACTGTTGCTGTTCCACTGCTTGTGTGGAAGTTCTTGCTGAGCAGACTACCTATGATGTTAATATTCAAGGGCTGAAGAATAAGATGGGGTAGATCTGCATCTCTGTACTTTGAACCTGACTGATACTACCTGTTATGCGCTATGTTGGCTGTAGCCTACCAAGAGGTTTCAGCACAAGACAGGAGACACTGGAAGGAGGAATTTGGTCAGTTTAGTTATCCTGATCAGCAGCCCAGTTTGCCTCTATGAAGGAAAGATTTACGGTGTACTAAATACTTGCAGGCCATTTCTGTCTGTGATGCTTAGCTGAGCGCAAGAATTGGGGAATTCATCTGAGGAGCTTTAAATGCTTGGCACGTGTTAATGAACTTACTTACCAAGTGCACAAGGTGAGGTACCAAGTATGTATGAGACTAGAAGGCCTTGTTAGCGCTGTCTTCCTGTGCAGCTCCATGGTGAGTAATGCGAGTTCTTATAGTGATGGCATGTGTTAGCCTGTAATCCATCAGCTCAGGGCAGGGCTAGAATAAAATAGTGCAAACGCTTGCCACCAGTGTTTCTTGTTCCGCTGTTTGAACTGTACTTGGATGAGGGAGTGTGGAACATGTTGCAGAAGAAGACACAAGTGTGCTGAGCGTCAGCAAAAGAGCTAGGAAAAGACCCATGCCTCTCATTACCACTTTCCTTTTTTGATCCACACCCGTACTTGGCACTCCATGAAACCAAGAGAGTGGGTGCCTCGGGAACTCTGGAATGGGGGGTCTGGTGGGTTGCGCTCAGTACTCTGCTTTGGCCACAGCTGTGCAGGTACACTATGATTAAATCTGTTGCTTCTAAAAAAAGGTACTATAGGACAATAAAAGCCAAAATAATTATGCTGCTTCTGTCAACTCTCTTATATAAATGACTTTTTTTTTGGACCCTTCAATTGCCCCTAATTGGCTTAGCAAAACGAAAGCTAATGTGGTGAATTTCTGTAAGTAATGCTGCGACTTTCATTACCTTAAATATGAGGGAAAGTGAAAGGCACCAATGGGAGGAACTTGCTGATTTTACTGTCCACTGGAATGAGATGCAGGTGGGAGCAGTGTCGCATGAGAAGCAACACATGCTGTCCGCACCAATTCCCTTCGGTTGACTTAATCCTGTGTCGTAAATGGTGTCAGGAGATTCGAGCTTTGCATGTCCTGACTTGTTTTGAAAGGATGTAGAAGTTGTTAGTGGAAGGACAAGAACGGTAGAGATTTGCTTTGAGATTGATTGCTTCACTTCCACTAATCTTGCACAGACCTATCTGCTCTGCGGTTCCCTGTGTGTTCTGTCTGACTCAGGTTAGATAATTTTTTACTGCCTTGTAAGAACTGTAGGGGCTCTTTTGTTTTGTCTAACTTGTGTTTCAGGCCAGTTCCCTCCACCTACCACCAAATGGATGTGGCTAAGATGACAAAGTCAGTATTAGTTGTGGAAGTGAGTGATGATTTGTACTCAGAGTGATATTAGATAGGGTCCTTAGCTGGCAAATTCAAATAGCTGCTATCAAAGGAATCGTGGTGTTCACGTGAAGTTGATAAAAGGAAGGATAACATCTAGGTTTCGAACTACTGCCTTGTCAAATTATGAAAGTTTTGAAGATGGAGACCATATTCTCCATCCTCATGATTTTTCTTGGCATGTTACCCTGTTTGTCTGTCTCTGGGTTCTTGTCACAGAGTCTTTCTTTTGAATCTGTCCACTTCACAATGTTCTTCTGCC